GTTTCTAAACTTTCTAAATCTCCATTTTCCAGCTAATGAAAAGAAAATAGGATTTTACTGAGTCTCCTGTTTCCTACTCCAGGACTTCTGTGAGGATCAAATGAGATGAGGCAGGGGAAAATGCTTCACAGACATTTAGTTAAAGTGTATAATATTTGCACCTGGCTATAAAACAAGTCATGTTCCTGGGCTGAAGAAACTCCAAGGAGGCTAGTCACTAGGGAGAAGAAGACAGGCATTGCTACATGACATCATTACCCTGTGCCCACAGCGACCGTTTCTGGGCTGGGCTGGGTTGTGGGCTGCATTTTGCGCCATGGGGTTTTGGCAGCATTGGCTGTAATTTGGTGGGGTGTTGCTCTGGGGTGGTGGTGGGGCTTGTGTCTGGGGTGGGGGAAGCCGAGTGTTGGTTTGTTGGTGCCAGGTCCATGGTGCCATTTTTTGTAAATGGCTAGTGTGTATCACGGCAACTTCTGCATTGAGCGTCTGCCCCCTGGTGGCCAGTGCATGTCATAGCAACTGGTCGGATGGTTGGAGGGACACTTAGCATATTAGCATTTTATAGATATAGATTGTATCTTCCTGATGAATCACTCCCTTTATCATTAAAAAATGTCCTTTGCCTATAGTGACAACTTTGTTTCTTAAAGCGTATTTTGTCTAGTATTGTATGGCCACTCAAACTCTCTTTGAATTACTATTTACAGAGTATATCTTTTTTTATCCTTTTACTCTCACCTATTTGTGTCTTTAGTAGATTGCAGAGGAGGATCATGGTAGTTTTGGTTTCTTTTTTAATCCATTTTGCCATCTGTGCCTTTTGTTTGAAGTGTTTAATCCATTTACATTTAATGAAACTTCTGATAAGGTAGGGTTATGTCTGCCATTTTGCTATTTGTTTTCTGTTTGCCTTATACCTCCCCGCATTCCTTCATTTCTGCCTTCACTTTTGTTAGTTATTTTCTAGTGTAACATTTTAGTTCCTCTCTTTTTTTACTATAATTAAAGTTATTTTCTTAGTGATTAATGTGTATTGATGTGGATCTCTTTGAGTCTATCCTACTTGAAGCTTGTTGAATTTCTCACATGCATTTTAATGTTTTTCACCAAAGTGAAAAGTTTTCGGCCACTGCTTTTTCCACTGTTCTCTTCCCCTTTCTTTTCTAGGACCCATGATATGTATATGTTGGTATATATGCATGTCTCTGACAGATCTCTGGAGGGCTGTTCATTTTCCTTCTTTTTTTTGTTCTGCAGCCTGAATAATCTCAACTGACCTCATATTCACTGATTCCTTCTTTTTCCAGCTCAAACCTGCTTTTGAACACCTGTAATGAATTTTTTATTTGTATGGTTGTACTTTCCAATGCCATTCTTGTCTCATTTAGTTCTGTAAGTCCAATACCTGGGCTTCCTCAGGGACATTTCTATTGACTGCCTTTTACCTCTATGGGCCAGACTTTCTTTTTTCTTTGCATATCCCATAATTTGTGTTGAAAATTGGAAGATTTTAAGGATATAATGGGCCAACTTCGGGAACCAGATACTCCCCCCACTCCAGAGTTTATTGTTGTAGCTCTTTATTTAGTGACTCTCCTGAGCTAATTCTGTAAAACCTGTATTCTTTGTTATGCGTGGCCATCAAAGTCTCTGCTCAGTTACCTTAGTGGTCAATTGATCGCATAGAGAGTTCCTGAATGTCTGGAACAAGTAAGTCTCCTAGTCTTTGCCCAGGGACTGTGTGTGTGTGTGTGTGTGTGTGTGTGTGTGTGTGTGTGATGCCTTCATGCTCAGGAAGGAGGTTACAGCTCTGCCTTAGTCATCACTTCTTGCTTGTGAAGACCCTCCAAGTGAGAGAGAGGTGAAAGCTGAGGGAATTCAGGTCTCCCCTGGGCACACACACAGCCCTACACATGTGTGGCCTTCTATGTTCATTTTTAAAATTTTTATCTTTATTGTTGAAAGTATTACAATGTCCCCCCTCCCCCCCCCCCCC